AAAGGTAATTTTACTTAGTCCTGGAAGTTTTAGTGAAATCGGTTGAAAATGTAGGACATCCAATCCAAATATATAAACGTAAAAGACAGTGACACACACTAAATCTGCGTTTTAGAATAAAAAAGATGAACATGGACCCCCCCCACCACCACCACTGAGTCAGGTTGTGACACAAGGTCATCTTGAAATTTTGTTGAAAGGTTGAAAAATGTAGGAAATCCGATCCTGATAAACGACACACACACACACACACACATGAAAAGTGATGGTTTTATAATAAAAATGATAACTCGATATTAAGTATAACTCGAAAAATGAGTTGTCCCCCTTTCAAATGCCTCAAGACGTGTTTTCAAAACATTTCGTGCAAAATCAATTGTGTTTTTTCAATTTTGTTCAATGTTAGAACCACCCTGAAGGTAATGACCCGTAGTCCTGTCAAGTTTTGTTGAAATCAAATGAAAAAATGTAGGAATTATAATAAATATATATTTTGTACAGACAACACACAACAAAACGTTTTATAATGGAAAATTCACCATTTATCCTTTTCTATCAATCTATTCTGATTTTGTTTTCTGTTCACAGCTTTATCTATCATTTTAATCAGCAACTAATCTAGAGCATCTTTAATTGATTTTTGGAATGTCATAAGGATAATGCCTGTATCTTCTCATTCTCTCTCTTATCCTGTACAATTTCCAATACAATTAAAATTTCTGATTATCTGTTTCATTCTTTTCTCTTCTAACCCTTTGCCTGTATCTTCTCATTCTCTCCCTTATCCATTCAATACAACTAAAATCATCTATTATCTCATATCCTCTTCTTTTTCAACTTTTTCCTGTATCTTCTCATTCTCTCTCATTCATCCTTTCCAATACAAAAATTATCTCATTATCTCATTATTTCTATTTCTTCCTTTCCTTTTCAATCACCCTTTTCCTGTATCTTCTCATTCTCTCCCTTATCCTTCCAATACAACTAAGATTATCCATTATCTCATCATTATCCTCTTCCTTTTCTAACCCTTTGCCTGTATCTTCTCATTCTCTCTCCCTTATCCTTCCAATCCAATAAAAAGATTATCCATTATCTCATTTCCTCTTTTCTTGCCTGTATCTTCTCATTCTTTTCCTGTATCTTCTCATTCTCTCCTATCCCTTCCAATACATCTAATAAATCCATTATCTCATGCTTCTCTTTATTCTCATTCCTCTTCCTTTTGCCTGTATCTTCTCATTCTCATTCCCCTTATCCTTCCAATACAAAAAAGATGATCCATTATCTCATATTTCTTTTCTCTTGCCCTTTGCCTGTATCTTCATTCTTCTTATCCCTAAAATCCTTTCCAATCTCATATTTCTAAAAATTATCCATTATCTCATCTCCCTATCCTTCCTTAATCTTCTCATTTGATTATTTGCCCTGTATTTCTTCATTTGCCTCTATCTTCCATTTCCCTTATCCATTCCAATACAACTAAAGATTATATTTTATCTCATTTCTTCTTCTTAAAACCCTTTGCCTGTATCTTCTCATTCTCTCCTTATCCTTTCAATACAACTAAAATGATCCATTATCTCATTCTCTCTTCTTTTCCCTTTGCCTGTATCTTCTCAACAATTCTCCCTTATCCTTCCAATACAACTAAGATTATCCATTATCTCATTCTTCTTCTTTTTCTCTAACCTTTGCCTGTATCTTCTCATTCTCTCCCTTATCCCTTCCAATACAACTAAGATTATCCATTATCTCATAAAATTCTTCTCTACCCTTTCCTTCTTCTCATTCTCTCCCCATCCTTCCAATACCTAAAATATCCTTTCTTCATCTTCTTTTGGAACCCTTATCCTGTATCTTCTCAAGGTTTCCAATACAACTAAAAAGATGATCCATTATCTCATTCTTCTTCTCTTTCTCTTAACCCTTTGCCTGTATCTTCTCATTCTCTCCCTTATCCCTTCCAATACAACTAAGATTATCCATTATCTCATACCTCTCTCTTTTCTCTCACCTTTTTGCCTGTATCTTCTCATTCTCTCCCTTATCCCTTCCAATACAACTAAGATTATCCATTATCTCATGCCTCTTCTTTTTTTCACCCTTTGCCTGTATCTTCTCATTCTCTCTCTTATCCCTTCCAATACAACTAAAATTATCCATTATCTCATGATCTCTTTCTCCCTTTCTTATCTTCTCATTCTCTCCCTTATCCCTTCCAATACAACAAAAAATGATTTTTCCTGTCTCTTCTCACCCCTTTTCTGTATCTTCTCATTCTCTCCTTATCCCTTCCAATACAACTAAGATTATCCATTATCTCATGCTTCTCTTTTTTCTCACCATTTTGCCTGTATCTTCTCATTCTCTCCTTATCCTTCCAATCCAAATATCAATTAAAATTATCCATTATCTCATCTTCTCTTCTCTTTTGCCCTTTTCCTGTATCTTCTCATTCTCTCCCTTATCCTTCCAATACAACTAAAATTATCCATTTATGCCTTTCACCCTTTTGCCTGTATCTTCTCATTCTCTCCCTTATCCTTCCAATACAACTAAGTATCTCCATTATCTCATATTTCTCTTCTCTATCCCTTTCCTGTATCTTCTCATTCTCTTATCCTTCCAATCTCATTATCCATTATCTCATCTTTTTCTTCTCTCACCTTTTTGCCTGTATCTTCTCATTCTCTCCCTTATCCTTCCAATACAACTAAGATTATCCATTATCTCATGCTTCTCTTTTCTTCACCATTTGCCTGTATCTTCTCATTCTCTCCCTTATCCTTTCCAATACAATTAAGATTATCCATTATCTCATATTTCTCTCTTCTCTCACCCTTTGCCTGTATCTTCTCATTCTCTCCCTTATCCTTTCCAATACAACTAAGATTATCCATTATCTCATTCCTCTTTTCTCTCACCTTTTCCTGTTCTTCTCATTCTCTTTATCCTTCCAATGTATCTTAATCCATTCTCTGATCTTCTCTTCCCTTTTTATACTCATTAAGATTATCCATTATCTACAATAAAAATTATCCATTATCTCATTTCTCTTCCTTCACCCCTTTTCTGTATCTTCTCATTCTCTCCCTTATCCTTCCAATACAAATTAAGATTATCCATTATCTCATGCTTCTCTTTTCTCTCACCCTTTGCCTGTATCTTCTCATTCTCTCCTTATCCTTCCAATACAACTAAAATCCATTATCATTATCTCATCTCTTCTTTTCTTCTGCTCTTTGCCTGTATCTTCTCATTCTCTCCCTTATCCTTTCCAATACAACTAAGATTATCATTTATCATTCTTTTCTCATGCCTCTTGCCTGTATCTTCTCATTCTCTCCCTAATTTTTCCTGTATCTTCATTCTCTTCTTATCCATTCTCTCCTTATCCTTCAATACAACTAAGATTATCCATTATCTCATATTTCCTCTTTTCTCACCCTTTGCCTGTATCTTCTCATTCTCTCCCTTATCCTTCCAAACCAATAACAAATTAAGATTATCCATTATCTCATGCCTCTTCTTATCCTTTCAATTTATCTTCCATTTTTTGCCTGTATCTTCTCATTCTCTCCCTTATCCTTTCCAATACAACTAAGATTATCCATTATCTCATGCTTCTTCTCTTCTCTTCCCTTTGCCTGTATCTTCTCATTTCTCCCTTATCCTTTCTAATACATCTAAGATTATCCATTATCTCATGCTTCTTCTCTTATCCATTTTGCCTGTATCTTCTCATTCTCTCCCTTATCCTTTCCAATACAACTAAGATTATCCATTATCTCATTATCCTATTCATTCTTTTCTCTCACCCTTTGCCTGTATCTTCTCATTCTCTCCCTTATCCTTCCAATACAAATTAATATTATCCATTATCTCATATCCATTCTTCTTTTCTTAACCATTTGCCTGTATCTTCTCATTCTCTCCCTTATCCTTTCCAATACAACTAAGATTATCCATTTATCTCATGCCTCTTCTTTTTCATTCACCTTTTGCCTGTATCTTCTCATTCTCTCCCTTATCCTTTCCAATACAATAATTATTATCCATTATCTCATTCTCTCTTTCTCTAACCCTTTGCCTGTATCTTCTCATTCTCTCCCTTATCCTTCCAATACAACTAAGATTATCCATTATCTCCCTCTTCTCTTTTTCACTTTTTGCCTGTATCTTCTCATTCTCTCTCCTTATCCTTTCCAATACAACTAAGATTATCCATTATCTCATGCCTCTGTTTTTCTTAACCCTTTGCCTGTATCTTCTCATTTCTCTCCTTATCCTTTCCAATACAATTAAATTATATCCATTATCTCATGCCTTATCTTCTCATCTTCTCTCTTATCCTTTTGCCTGTATCTTCTCATTCTCTCCTTATCCCTTTTTCCAATACAACCTGTATCTTTATCCATTATCTCATGCCTCTTATCCATTTCTCACCCTTTTCCTGTATCTTCTCATTCTCATTCTCTCTTATCCTTTTCCAATACAACTAAAATTATCCATTATCTCATGCCTCTTCTTCTTCATTAACCATTTGCCTGTATCTTCTCATTCTCTCCTTATCCCTTCCAATACAACTAAGATTATCATTATCTCATATTTCATCTTCTCTCACCATTTGCCCTGTCTTCTCATTCTCTCCCTTATCCTTCCAATACAACTAAAATTATCCATTTATCTCATGCCTCTCTCTTTTTCCATTCGTTCCTTTTCCTGTATCTTCTCATTCTCTCCTTATCCTTCCAATACAACTAAGATTATCCATTATCTCATGCCTCTTCTGATTTTTCTAACCTTTGCCTGTATCTTCTCATTCTCTCCTTATCCTTTCCAATACAACTAATATTATCCATTATCTCATTCTCTCTTTTCTCACCCTTTGCCTGTATCTTCTCATTCTCTCCCTTATCCTTTTCCAATACAACTAAGATTATCCATTATCTCATGCCTCTGCTTATTCTCTCACCTTTGCCTGTATCTTCTCATTCTCTCCCTTATCCATTCCAATACAACTAAGAAAATTATCCATTATCATCATCTCTTTTTTCTAACCCTTTGCCTTATCTTCTCATTCTTATCCTTCCAATACAACTATCTTCTCATTTCTCTCTTATCCCTTCCAATTCTACATCCTAAAATTATCAATTTAACTAATATTCTCTCTCATTCTCTCTAACCCTTTTTGCCTGTATCTTCATCATTCTCCCTTATCCTTTCCAATATCAATTATCCATTATCCATTATCTTATCTTCTCTTCTCACCCTTTGCCTGTATCTTCTCATTCTCTCCCTTATATCCTTCCAATACAATTAAGATTATCATTTATCTCATGCCTCTTCTTTTCTTTTCTTGCCCTTTGCCTGTATCTTCTCATTCTCTCCCTTATCTTTTCCAATACAACTAAAATTATCCATTATCTCATGCTTCTTCTTCTCTCATTCTTTTCCTGTATCTTCTCATTCTCTCCCTTAAATTTTCAATCTCATTATATCCATTATCTCATTCCATTTTTCTCTACAACTTTAAGATTTCTCATTCTCTCCTTATCCTTTCCAATACAACTAAGATTATCCATTATCTCATGCCTCTCCTTTTTCTTTTGCCTTTTTTGCCTGTATCTTCTCATTCTATCCCTTATCCCTTCGAATACAATTAAGTCTATCCATTATCTCATGCTTCTCTCTCTTCTCTCACCCATTTTTGCCTGTATCTTCTCATTCTCTCCCTTATCCTTTCCAATACAACTAAGATTATCCATTATCTCATGCCTTCTCTCTTTTTCACCCTTTGCCTGTATCTTCTCATTCTCTCTCCCTTATCCTTTCCAATACAATTAAAATTATCCATTATCTCTCACCCTCTATCTTTCATTTCTCATTCACCCCTTTGCCTGTATCTTCTCATTCTCTCCCTTATCCCTTCCAATACAACTAAGATTATCCATTATCTCATGCCTCTGTTCTTCCTCTTCACCCTTTGCCTGTATCTTCTCATTCTCTCTCTTATCCTTCCAATTCCAATCAATTTCCATTATTATCCATTATCTTCTCTTAACCATTTGCCTGTATCTTCTCATTCTCCTTATCCTTCCAATACAACTAAAAATCATCCTTATCTCATATCTATCTTCCCTTTGCCTGTATCTTCTCATTCTCTCCCTTATCCTTCCAATTAAGATTATCCTTTATCTCTTCTTGCCTGTTTCTCTATTTTCCATTCCTTATTTCTCAATTTTTCAATCTCTTCCATTCATTCTCATTCTAAAATTATCCTTTATCTCATTTTCTCATTCTTCTCTTTTCCTCTTTCCTGTATCTTCTCATTCTCTCCCTTATCCTTTCCAATACAACTAAAATTATCCATTATCTCATTCTTTTTCTAACCCTTTGCCTGTATCTTCTCATTCTCTCCTTATCCTTCCAATACAACTAAAATTATCCATTATCTCATTTCTCTTTTTCTTCACCCTTTGCCTGTATCTTCTCATTCTCTCCCTTATCCTTTCCAATACAACTTAAGATTATCCATTATCTCATGCCTCCTCTTTTCTTTCACCCTTTGCCTGTATCTTCTCATTCTCTCCCTTATCCCTTTCCAATACAAATAAGATTATCCATTATCTCTCTTCTCATGCCTTCTCTTTTCCATTCACCCATTTTCCTGTATCTTCTCATTCTCTCCCTTATCTTTCCAATACAATTAAGATTATCCATTATCTCATGCCTACCAATTTTTCTTCCTTTTTGCCTGTATCTTCTCATTCTCTCCCTTATCCCTTCCAATACAAATTAAGATTATCCATTATCTCATGCCTTCTCTTCTTCTTCACTTTTGCCTGTATCTTCTCATTCTCTCCTTATCCTTTCCAATACAATTAAGATTATCCATTATCTCATAATCTGTTCTTCTCTTCACCCTTTTGCCTGTATCTTCTCATTCTCTCCTTATCCTTTCCAATACAATTAAGATTATCCATTATCTCATGCCTCTTCTTCTCTCACCCTTTGCCTGTATCTTTCTCATTCTCTCCCTTATCCTTTCCAATACAACTAAGATTATCCATTATCTCATACCTTCTTCTTTTCTCTCAACCCTTTGCCTGTATCTTCTCATTCTCTCTCATATCATTCCAATCAATTACCATTATCCATTTATCATCATCTTCTCATTTCTTTTCTCACCATTTTGCCTGTATCTTCTCATTCTCTCCCTTATCCTTTCCAATACAACTAAAGATTATCCATTATCTCATGCATCTCTGTCTTTGCCTTATCTTCACCCATTTTGCCTGTATCTTCTCATTCTCTCCTTATCCTTTTTCCAATACAATTAAGATTATTATCCATTATCTTCTTTGCCTGTATCTTCATCATTCTCTCCTTATCCTTTGCCTGTATCTTCTCATTCTCTCATTCTTATCCTTTCAATACAATTAAGATTATCCATTATCTTCATCTCATCCATCTGCTTTTCTTTTTCTTATCTTCTCATTCTCATCCCTTTGCCTGTATCTTCTCATTCTCTCCCTTATCCATTTTCCAATACAACTAAGATTATCCATTATCTCATGCCTTCTGATAAAATTATCCATTCTCTCTCTTCTTTTGCCCTGTATCTTCTCATTCTCTCCCTTATCCTTCCAATACAACTAAGATTATCCATTATCTCATGCCTATGTTCTTCTCTCACCCTTTGCCTGTATCTTCTCATTCTCTCCCTTATATTTTCCAATACAACTAAGATTATCCATTATCTCATGCATCTTCTCTTCTCTCACCCTTTGCCTGTATCTTCTCATTCTCTCCTTATCTTTTCCAATACAACTAAGATTATCCATTATCTCATTATTTGTTTTTTTCACCCTTTTTCCTGTATCTTCTCATTCTCTCCCTTATCCCTTCCAATATCATTTCTCATATTCTCTCTTTCTCCTTTGCCTGTATCTTCTCATTCTCCATTATCCTTCCAATACAAAAAAAATATCCATTATCTCATGCCTCTGCTTTTCTCTCACCCTTTTGCCTGTATCTTCTCATTCTCTCCTTATCCTTCCAATACAACTAAGATTATCCATTATCTCATGCCTCTTCTCTTCATTCACCCATTTGCCTGTATCTTCTCATTCTCTCCCTTATCCTTTCCAATACAACTAAGATTATCCATTATCTCATGCCTCTTCTCTTCTCTAACCCTTTGCCTGTATCTTCTCATTCTCTCCTTATCCTTTCCAATACAACTAATCCATTATCCATTATCTCATGCCTTTTCTTCTTTCTCTCACCCTTTGCCTGTATCTTCTCATTCTCTCCCTTATCCCTTCCAATACAATTAAGATTATCCATTATCTCATGCCCATTTCTATCTCATTTTTCTAACCCTTTGCCTGTATCTTCTCATTCTCTCCTTATCCTTTCCAATACAAATTAAGATTATCCATTATCTCATGCCTCTTATTCTTCTCTAACCATTTGCTTGTATCTTCTCATTCTCTCCCTTATCCTTTCCAATACAACTAAGATTATCCATTATCTCATTCCTCTATGTTTTTCTCTCACCCTTTGCCTGTATCTTCTCATTCTCTCCTTATCTTTTTCCAATACAAATAAAGATTATCCATTATCTCATGCATCTCTTCTTCTTTTCCCCCTTTTCCTGTATCTTCTCATCATTCTCTCCCTTATCTTTCCAATACAACTAAGATTATCCATTATCTCATGCCTCTTCTTTCTTCTCTCCATTCACCCTTTGTATCTTCTCATTCTCTCCCTTATCCTTTCCAATACAATTAAGATTATCCATTATCTCATGCCTCTCCTTTTCTTTTCACCCTTTTGCCTGTATCTTCTCATTCTCTCCCTTATCCCTTCCAATACAACTAAGATTATCCATTATCTCATGCCTCTCTTCTTTCTGTTCTTTGCCTGTATCTTCTCATTCTCTCCCTTATCCATTCCAATACAACTAAGATATCCATTATTCCTGTCTCATTCTTCCCTTATCTCATTCTCTCCTTATCATCTTTTTTCTGTATCTTTCTCATTATCTCCCTCATCCATTCAATACAACTAAATTAAAATTATCCATTATTTCCTGTATCTTCTCATTCTCTCCTTATCTTTCTTATTATCATTTCCTCTTCTCTTTTCTCTTTCTGTATCTTCATTCTCTCCCTTATCCCTTCCAATACAACTAAGATTATCCATTATCTCATGCCTCTGCTTCTTCTCTCACCCTTTGCCTGTATCTTCTCATTCTCTCCCTTATCCATTTCCAATACAACTAAGATTATCCATTATCTCATGCCTCTGCTCTTCTCATTACCCTTTGCCTGTATCTTCTCATTCTCTCCCTTATCCTTCCAATACAACTAAGATTATCCATTTATCTCATGCCTCTTCTTCTCACCATTTTCCTGTATCTTCTCATTCTCTCCCTTATCCCTTCCAATACAACTAAGACTATCCATTATCTCATGCATCTGCTCTCCTCTCACCCTTTCCCTGTATCTTCTCATTCTCTCCCTTATCCCTTCCAATACAACTAATTATTATCCATTATCTCATGCCTCTTCTCTCCATCTTTGCCTGTATCTTCTCATTCTCTCCCTCATTATCCTTTTCCAATACAACTAAGATTATCCATTATCTCATGCCTCTTCTCTTCTCTCACCCTTTGCCTGTATCTTCTCATTCTCTCCCTTATCCTTTCCAATATACAACTATGATCCATTATCTCATGCCTCTCTCTTCTTTTTTGCCTGTATCTTCTCATTCTCTCCCTTATCTTTTCCAATACAATAAAGATTATCCATTATCTCATGCCTCTATCTTCTCTCACCATTTGCCTGTATCTTCTCATTCTCTCCCTTATCCTTTCCAATACAATTAAGACTATCCATTATCTCATGCCTCTGCTTTTCTCTCACCCTTTGCCTGTATCTTCTCATTCTCTCCCTTATCCCTTTCCAATACAACTAAGATTATCCATTATCTCATATCTTCTGTTCTTCTCATCCTTTGCCTGTATCATTTCTCATTTTTCTCCCTTATCCCTTCCAATCCAATTAACAATTATCCATTATCTCATGCCTCTTTTTTCTCTCACCATTTTGCCTGTATCTTCTCATTCTCTCCTTATCCTTTCCAATACAACTAAGATTATCCATTATCTCATGCCTATGCCTCTTTCTACCCCTTTGCCTGTATCTTCTCATTCTCTCCTTCCAATCCCTTTCAATACAGATTAAATCCATTATCTCATACAACCTCTTTCTTTTCATTCACCCCTGTATTTCTCATTCTCTCCTTATCTTCTCATTTCTCTCCCTTATCCTTTCCAATCCTTAAGATTATCCATTATCTTATCTCATTTCTTTTCTTCTCTCACCTTTTGCCTGTATCTTCTCATTCTCTCCTTATATCTTTTCCAATACAACTAAGATTATCCATTATCTCATGCCTCTGCTTTTCTCTCACCTTTTGTCTGTATCTTCTTATTCTCACCCTTATCCCTTCCAATACAACTAAGATTATCCATTATCTCATATTTCTGCTCTTCTCTCAACCCTTTGCCTGTATCTTCTCATTCTCTCCTTATCCCTTCCAATACAACTAAGATTATCCATTATCTCATGCCTCCTCTTCTCTCACCCTTTGCCTGTATCTTCTCATTCTCTCCTTATCCTTCCAATACAACTAAAGATTATCTATCATTATCTCATGCCTGCTCTTCTCTCACCCTTTGCCTGTATCTTCTCATTCTCTCCTTATCCCTTCAATACAACTAAGATTATCCATTATCTCATTCTCTGTCTTTTCTAACCCTTTGCCTGTATCTTCTCATTCTCTCCCTTATCCTTTCCAATACAACTAAGATTATCCATTATCTCATATTTCTGCTCTTCTCTAACCCTTTGCCTGTATCTTCTCATTCTCTCCTTATCCTTCCAATACAACTAAAATTATCCATTATCTCATTCCTCTGCTCTTCTCTAACCCTTTGCCTGTATCTTCTCATTCTCTCCCTTATTTTTTCCAATACAACTAAATTATCCATTATTATTTATCTCACCCTTTCTGCTTCTTCTCTAACCATTTGCCTGTATCTTCTCATTTCTCTCCCATTATCCTTCCAATACAACTAAGATTATCCATTATCTCATGCCTCTGCTCTTCTCTAACCCTTTGCCTGTATCTTCTCATTCTCTCTCCTTATCCTTCCAATAAACTAAGATTATCCATTATCTCATATCCTCTTCTTTTCTCTTTTTGCCTGTATCTTCTCATTCTCTCCCTTATCCCTTCCAATACAACTAAGATTATCCTTTATCTCATGCCTCTCTCTTTTCTCTCACCCTTTGCCTGTATCTTCTCATTCTCTCCTTATCCCTTCCAATACAACTAAATTATCCATTATCTCATTCCTCTGCTCTTTTCTCTTCACCCTTTGCCTGTATCTTCTCATTCTCTCCCTTATCTTTTCCAATACAACTAAGATAATCCATTTATCTATTATCTCTTGATATTTCTGCCTTTTCTTCTCATTCCCTTTATCCATTCCAATATCTTCTCATTCTCTCCCTTATCCATTCCAATACCTGTAAGATTATCCATTATCTCATGCCTCTGCTCATCCTTTCACCATTTGCCTGTATCTTCTCATTCTCTCCTTATCCATTTCCAATACAACTAAGATTATCCATTATCTCATATTTATCTTTTTTCTAACCATTTGCCTGTATCTTCTCATTCTCTCCCTTATCCCTTCCAATGTATCATTATTATTATCCATTATCTCATGCCTCTCTGCTTTTCTCTCACCCATTGCCTGTATCTTCTCATTCTCTCCCTTATCCTTCCAATACAACTAAGATTATCCATTATCTCATATTTCTGCTCTTCTCTAACCCTTTGCCTGTATCTTCTCATTCTCTCTCCTTATCCCTTCCAATACAACTAAGATTATCCATTATCTCATGATATTTTCTTCTCTCCTGTATCTTCTTCTCTCCCTATATCCCTTCCAATACAACTAATATTATCCATTATCTCATTCTGCTCTTCTCTAACCTTTTGCCTGTATCTTCTCATTCTCTGAGATATCCTTTATTTACAATACAATTGTAATATTATCATCTTTTCATTATTTTGCCTATTTCTGCTCTTTTCTAACCATTTGCCTGTATGTAATTTCTCATACATTGTCTCCTGTTGTCCTCATCTTTTCCAATACAATTAATATTATCCATTATTTGATATTTCTGCTCTTTTCTAATCATTTGCCTGTATCTTCTCCTGTATCTTCATATTGTATCCCTTATCCCTTCCCATACAAATAAGACAATCCATTATTTCATGCCTCTGTTCTCCTCAAATACACAAGCCTAGTGGATAAAAGCGTTGGTTGGATCCAGTGACTTAACTTAAGGAGTTGTGAGTTCAATACCTAACTACGGCAGTGGTGGTGAACAAAAAAAAAAAAAAAAAAA